CAGAGGAATACAAGAAACTTGCCGAGCGGTGTTGTGATGCTGATCCTGATAAGCGTCCAGATGCAGGGACACTTTGGAATGATATTCACAAGCTTATTGAAGAGGTGAAGAAGGATAATAAATATTCTAGTACGCTCTTACCTACCGGAGAATTACCTAAACCAAGAAATAGCTATGACATGGATTCAGCTGCAGGTATGGTTACACGTTGATACAAATAATAATAAAGTCAATTTACAATATTAACACCCGTGCATTTCTTATAATTTAGAGACAAACTCTTTTTTGAATAAACTTGTAATTCAACGGGTTTATTTACAGTTATACGAGTTTTTCTCCTATTCGAATTATACGATGTGCTTTCACGTATGTCAAGATGGTTGAGTTCACATGATGCCGAAATAAAATCGTGCACGTTTACTGTTAGTATTAGTTGCCTTTGCCGGGGCTATATAAGAAAATATGATATATTATTTAAATCTTGAGACTAATGTTTTATGAAAATGCTAATCGTTCCTGAATAAAATACGTAGCAACATTCGAGCTCTGTTCGAAGCATTTCAGCACCGCCGGATGATGCGTGCTTCCCGACTTTGTTTCATACTAGTTTTTTTCCAAATGGGCCCATGCAGTTGGCCAAGCCACTTCATGACAAGAATCCTGGAGATGTGATAAAAGCAGATCCCACACCTGCTCGGATCTTCCGATTGAAGAATATCTCTGAAACTCCTGTAAGAACCAAAACCTTAGGTCATTCATTCCACACGGTATTACGCAAGGGATGAATCATCAATAAATCCACTCACATCCCTCAAAGACATATCGCTACTCTTTTCATGATATTGCTGCATAACCTTAATGGCCCCGTAACGATGCAAGTTTAACGGCATCCAACAACGGAAATAAAATTGCCATACACATATATGCCAAGACGGCTCCGCTCATATCAACAGTGCAAAATAATGGCCGAGAGTTTGAGCAAATACTATCTAGTTAATTAATGAAAAACGGACGTGTATTCATAATTGAAAACAATGATTTATTCTTTTTTCTACCCTTATCTTCATTATCTTCTATAGAGGTAAATAAGAAAGTTAAACAGAATTTTGCCTTTGAGTAACTTCTTTGTCAACTTGGCTGTGTGCTTGGATGCATTTGAGAAAAGATTTTTTGTTAAAATTTCCAATAAAAATTCCCATCCATGTTTCAATAAAAACAATTAAATCCAACAGCTTTCTGCGAACAAAAAACATCTTTCCGCAGTAAAAAAATTTTGGCTTTCCTGAACATAATTTGGTTAATATTAACAGGAGTTGATACTGAAAGTATTTATACACAGTGAATATTAATATGAGAATATGTGTTATCTTATGAAGCTGAGATACGTTATGAATTCTTTTTTTTTTCACATTTGAACGTACGTAAGTTGATTAGGCTTTTTTTTTATTGCAAAAGCAAACAAAGAACGCGTTGTTAGTTTAAATATTATTTTTATTTATACATTTGTTATCTGATGTAACTTTCTATATATTTTTCATAGTAAACAAAACAGAGAGCATGTAAATCTTAGCTAAAGTAATTGCATAATTTTCTCATTATTTTCACCACTGCTGTATACTTAGAACTGAAGAAATATGCAATCGGCGTTGTTATCGAGTCGGTGGCACTGAACCTCTTTTGTTATTACTAGGCGGTGAAAGTACCAAACTTTCTATTGACACAAAATCTTTTCATTCCGACGAGAGGTAAAGACGGAATAACCTAGCAGGAGATAATTACAATAAGATGGTACGAAATATGTATCGATTCCACTGACGATATTTAAATACCAAAATCGTACGCTGATCAGACGGATCTATGTTCTTTTTGTCGACGAAGAGTCTATGGTAATATTCATAATTGTCGTTAAAAAAACGCATTTCACCAGGAGCGGTTAGAACGCGTATAAGGAATTGCTTAAAAAAGACGCATCGACATTTATCGCCCTTTTAGATAATTATCTACTCTCCGACCAAGACGCGCAACCAATGCATTAGATAGTATCGTTTTTTCTAAATAAGCAAAGGATAAAATAATAATACTGTAATTATTATATAAGCAAAGTAAATCAGAATAATAGAGTATCTCTTAAATTCGCTTAATAGGCCCCACAAAAGTCTAAATGCTGGATATTACACGTACTGTATCTTATAATGTATGCAAACACTATCGGCAATTCTAGGGAAAGATATAATTCTAAGTTATTATAACGTACAAGTATTAATCGTTTTCGTCATGTCAGCTGATTTTATTCTTGTGAGATTAGATTTCTATTGGTGGAGAAAAAATTTTCGATGGACGGAATGTCACGGTATTAAAAGCAAAGCCTTACAAAGTCTCGTTCCTCCTCTTCTATCCCCGTGCGGTCTAAGGTGGTTGCCCAGGTGTGTTAAGTAAAGCTTTCTAGTGTGCTGGCGTAAAGGTCACTAGAATTTGTTGTCAGATTCAAGTGATAATAATTTCATATGATAAATAATAAACCACCTGATCAAGCAGAATGCAAATATTTGTCAAGACTCTAACGGGAAGGACCATCACCGTTGAGGTGGATTCCTTAGAAACTGTTGAAGATGTCAAGCAAAAGATTCAAGAGAAAGAAGGTAACGATAAGGAATAGATTCAACTTTAAAACAGCACAGCTTTGGAAATCAAGTTTTAACTGCGAATTCCATTATCAATCTGAATAAATGAGACAAGAAAGTCAATTTCCGATAAATAGTTTAGCAAGGACGTGACAGATTAGCATCTAACCGCTCCTCAATAATTACTTATTTACACAGGAATTCCTCCGGATCAACAAAGCTTAGTTTATTCGCGCAAACAGGTAATTCCCAACTTTTACACCATCCATCTTATCCATAATCTTGCTAACCTCTCCAAGCATTATTCCAGCTAATAGAGGATCGAACACTTACCGAATACAATATTGAAAAAGATTCGACGCTTCATTTAGCTCTTCGTCTTCTCGGTGGCGCAAAGAAACGTAAGAAGAAGTCTTATACCACTCCAAAGAAGATCAAGCATAAGCGCAAGAAGGTCAAACTCGCAGTATTGAAGTATTACAAAGTTGATGAGAACGGGAAGATCACAAGGTTGAGACGCGAGTGCCCGAGCAACACTTGCGGTGCTGGAGTTTTCATGGCTTGGCATTATGACAGACAGTATTGTGGCAAGGTAGATTTATCCGAAACGTTATAAACAGAACGGTGAAATACTGGTTGTTTCATACGTCTTTTTTTATACCGCAACTGACAATATTGTGAATCGCCTTACTTCTTTGAACAGTGCCATCTCACATTTGTCTTTAAGAAGGAAGAACAAGAGGCTTGATTGGCCGACTATGACAAGGGAGGATAAGCCTAGAAAATATTTTAATAAATAACATTATAAAAATCTTCTTTTGACTAATTTATTTAAGCATGAAAAATGGTTAAACACGGAACGTTGTATGCAAGTTTAATATCAACACGTTCGTTGCGACCATATCGATTTTCGAATAATTGGCAAAGCAAGAGCTTCTTAAACTTTTAGTCGTTGTTGTTATGCAGTCATTCGATTGTACGGAAACCACATTTAGCAAATGTTTTTCGGTATACGAAAAACAAAGCATTCTATTAAGGGAATGGTGGGGCTGCTATCAAACATCTCTTTTACCGTTCTCCCATACAGTCTTTACCGTTGGAAATCGGAGTGACCTAACTACTCCAGCTGTGATATTCTCTGTGCTAGTTTTATTGTCTTTTCTGTCTCTCGCTGCTTTCTTCCTGTTCCTCGTTGATTTAGATTTCTTGTCTGATACTTCGGTCTCATCGAAATATCGCACCGTAATCTCTTTTCCAATGATTGAACCTGGATTTTCCTTGTACTTGATGCGTTGCTCCACTGTAAAACCCGAACCAACGCTTACCTCACTACCTGCAACACAATCCCAAGACTGTTAGAGAGCGTTGTCTAATCAAGAAGCTATGCGTGAATGACCGTTAGCAACTCACCAGCATGCTCAACTAACACATTCGTCAATACGTCACGTTCTTCAGCTTTTCCATTAACGTAGATATTCATAGGTCCAGTTTCGATGGCTTTCACCTGATATTCTGCCTCTCGATGTTGCTTGACTTTTAGAATATTACAACTGACACGGAGAAAATAAAAAAAAAAAAAAAAGGAAAAAAAAAGGCGGAGACAACTGACTTATCATATTAAAGATGAACCAGTAAAAAACGCATCATAATGTGATTCTACCTTCGTTTGCCTTCATATCCAACGTTTTTCCTCAGTATCAAGCCTTCCCATCCAGCAGATGAACCCTGAGAAATCAGATTTTGTAAATGTTCCGCATTATTTACTTCGACTTGATCCAAAAGTCCAACTCTTTCCTCTTTCCCTATTGGATTCTCTATCAACTTTTTCATAAATTCCAGGCGCTCTTCAAACGTCCTTCCTCCAACGCGTCTTTCAAACTCGTCTTTCGTCAGACAGTCAAACACACAATATTTAGGATCTTCCATCTGTTGACCAGCTGTACTAATCACCGCCATGGCATCAGTAAAAGTCTCGCGAAATTGCCCATCAGCGCCTTCAGAAATCACGCATAATTCACCATCTAGCACCAAACCCTTATTCCATAATCTGCCACGTAGTAATTTTTTATGTTTACGGATAATTTCCTTCACGCACTCTATTATCTTTGTTAGAGTCACAAAAGATTTGCCTGATCTGGAGTACGCTCTGACGTCGTCCCCATATGCCATGATTAGACAGCGCACACCATCCAGCTTTCTCGAAGCAAACCATTTATTTGAATCCTCCTTATTCGATGCAAAGAGAGAGTCAATCTTGTGCATATTCAAAGTGCGTCCAAGCGCTACGGAAAATGTAGCTATCGAGTCGACGCCACAAACTTTTTTGATCCGTTGTACGTTCATCCCAATCTTGAGATTTTTGCAAAGAATTTTATACATGAGCTCTTTATGTATGGGTTTGGTACAATTCGTATGCATAAATCTTGCAACTGCAAACCGAGCTACATGACCACTTATCCGTCGTTCCGACAATGCATCTAACAGAGACTCTATAGTTTCATACACGGGAGCGTTCTGTAACCGTTTTGGTAACTTGGTCGGATCGCTGTCAAAATATCCTCGAGGTTTATTCTGCATGTATTCGATCAAACTCTTGCTTGATATGTTAAACCTTTCGGCCGGATCATAGATCTTTTTGAGTATGGAATGGCATTCTGGATGTGCAGATAGAACGCTGTATTTTTCTGCCATCATGTTTGCAGCTTTAATATCTTTGACAAATGTTGCAAGCGCGTCGAACTGCTGCGTGGCAGAACAGACCGAGGTTAATTCTTTATTAACAGCAGGTTTCGGAACAGCCTTTGGATAATAATTCTGACGCATGTGTGGAATATCCCAAAGCTTTTTGACAACCTCTGCAGTCAATCCGATATCGAGGTCCTTGTCCAGGATTTTAAAGAACAAATCACGTTTCTCAGGTGTTCCACAATATTTTTGTATAAATTTTCCGGTAGCCAAAAGAGCCTCTTGTCCAGTGACGTCGCGATTGGATAACGCGTTTAATAATGCCATTAATGATTTAAACTCATGAGCAGTCTTGACTTTTGCCTTTTCTTTTGCTGATAAGAAGCCGCGCACCCGCTTTGGTCTAAGATAAAATTTTACTGAAGGATCATATATCAACTTGAACAACTCTCCGGTTTTGGCTCGTTTGAAGCTCCGGATCGTCTCTATTTTGTCTGCAAGTAACGGTTTTTGACGCATTCTATTTACAAAGCCAGTTAGAGCGGTGAGTTCCCTTCCCCCTGTCAGTTCTCTTTTTGTTGTCTTTTTATCTAGTTTCATTGTTGTGTAATGCTGTCTTGTATTAAACCCTGCTCGGTCTAGTACTAACTGATTGAATGTCTTTAGAATTCTATTGCTGCCAGTATTAGTTAAATCCCTTTCTATTTTCGGAAGATAAAAAATTGTAAAATTTCTCTGTAGAGGCATTGGCGTGATAGAAAGTTTGAGGCCGAGGAAATCATATTAGTATCGCACAAGTCTAAATATTATGGAATTACTTGCAACATCATGTGATTTAGATGTGACACGCACCGAGTTTCTGTGCCGTTTACAGACTGGAATAGCCGTACCAAAAGTTACTGGATGCAAGGTTATATAAGAAACATTACACTACCCTCCTAAGTAAACGTTCGAAAGTTACAAGAAAGAAAGCTTTGTGATGGTAGACTACAACAAAACCAGATAAAGTGAACATTTGATTATGTGAGCTAAAAATGCTGAAAGATCAATAGCTTCCTTCGTTCATATCCGATGATATAATATGTCACGATGTTCCGAACGAACTCACATCCGATAATGGAAAAGAGTTCGATAACCAGTTGTTGAAACATATAGCTAGGCGAACGCATGTCAAACATATATTTACAGCAACTTATCATCCGCAAGCAAATGGACAAGTCGAGTGTATGAATCAAACTCTGATGAATATGCTTCGAAAATTGTTTGAAGATGAACATATTGAAACATCATTATTCGCTTACCGCACCACTATACACTCAACGACTAAATTTTACACCATATTATCTGCTAGGCGGTTACGCCGCTGAATCGAAATTGGCTCCAATTGGTAATGAAAAGGTCGAATAATGAGTAAAAGAGCGCAAGCACGTGATAACATCGTAAAAGGACAAAAATATAATACGATAGAAAACTACAAGATTCACCCTATATTCCTGTGATTTAGTTTGGATCGATAAGAAAACGCTTAGCGCATTACCAAGACAAAAAACTGGTATGCGACTAACAGGACCGTTTGAAATTATTCAAAGGAATAGAAACGGTACTTATCACGTGAAAGACTCAAGTGGCGTAGTACTCAAAAAAGCCTATTCGGGAAACAAATTCAGACGCTACGAAATACGACATCAAAAAATCATCAACGCTTTCAAGAATATGATCGTTGTCAATGATACGGAATCCCTGCTTCGGATGGAGAGAACCCGTAAAAATGTCCACAAAGGAGATGAATTTCCTCGGTTAGTAGATGCGAGTGAAGAGGAAGACTAATTGTACTGCTTATCCACTAGTAAATTAGTTGACCTTGGAACTTAGTCGAATGAGAGGACCAATCACTAGATTGTGAAAGAGTATATATAAACTAAGAGAAATTTCTATGCCGTAAAAATAATAGAAAATTTAAAAATATTGAGTTAAAGATCAGTTGGTTTTGAAGATTCGGCCATCTGATTGGAGATAGTGAGGGCGCGAACAACCCACATATTAATTAACCAATTGCGATAATATATTTATTTCGACGTTGTCACATAATTTATGCACAACGGTTGTACACACACTGTACTTATCACTCTACTACAAGTGGCTCTCGATATAAGAAAGTGATCGGGACCGCCAAATTCCTTTCTTATATCGAAAGTCTCTTGTTATAAGACAGTCCTTAATTAACGTGAATAAAACTTATCTGTCTGGAGTTACTTGCCTTTTACTTTTAATACCGTCATTTACTACGTCTTTTTTAAAACAACATAGCCTTTGAATAAAAGATCCATCTACCTTAACATCGTTGTTTGATTGATTGATAAAACGGAGAATAATTGATGTTATTGATAACTTCACTATGAGAAATACTTTTGTTATACTCTTCCTCTCCTCCTCCTCCTCCTCCTCCTCTTCTTCTTCTTCGTCATTGCTATTACTATTGAGTACTGCTTCAATTATTTCGCTATCACTAGGCATGCTTTCATCAAAAGCATTATCAATAGCAATAAATTCATTTGCTGGTAATGGTATATTTATAGGCAGTTGGTCAATAAGGGATTGAAGTTCCTCTGTAAGATCTACAGCATCGTCTAATTATGTGCAAATGTGTTGCCACTCCGAGATGAGTCAGAGACGCCTCTTCATGGTTGTTCGATGTGTCAAAGGTACGATCATTGTTCCGAATTTTTTATGGGATGGGATAACTGATTAATGTTGTTATTATTTTTGTTTTAAATTATTGTGTATTTATATGTAGTAAAAAAAATCATTTTCGATTGAAATACTTTCAGCACCAATTGTTCGTCGGTTAATTTTTGCTGCGGTACCACCCAGATATTTAACTCATTGATTTTTCTAACTACACACTCCCGCTCGTAACACATATATTATATGTGGTATATCACTATAGAATTAGATTTTACAAAAAATGCATAAGTCAGGGATTTTACCAAAAATGGATATCGATTTCTAGAATAATCTGCGGCAAATTTCTTTGGTTGGCTCTCGCAGATTTTACATCCCTTTTTGCGTATGAATTTTCATGGTATTAGTGCGTTGCGGAAAGGTAATATTTTTTATTGCATCTTTCTTTGTGATTGAGTTTGTAATTAGAATGTCGTAAGCATATTGAGCAAACTTGTTCTCGATGCAACCTATGTTATTGCTTAGCTAATAGTGATTGCCGAAGGCTTTTAAAATACATTACGGTGGTTTCTAATGTTGAAAACACCTCTTCTAGTAGCCTTTATCTCAAAGACATCTCCCAATGAAGGTTGGTGTCTTTGATAGTGCATTTCCCTAAGTAAAGCTACGATATCTTCAACAATCTGTTCTTTGCAGTGATTCTGAGTATCAGTAATACTGAAAAAGGTTTCCGATGGGGCAACACCAAGAATCCCAAACTGATTTGCACGATGGATTTGAATCGGTTGGCAACCATCAAACGCTTGAATAACTGATCAAGATATTGTTAGAAAAACGAGAAAATAATAATAATGATTTTTACATTATTGACATACCATCAATCACATGCTGTTTAGGAATATTTCGGGTTCTAATCCCATCCTCATCCCATTCGATCACTAACAGCATTTGATCGATATCATCATCTTCAAGGTCTTCACCCACGTCGTTGTTGTTCTTTCTAGCAGTCTTTCCAGCAGTCTTATACCATTGAACGATACGTTTTTGGGTCCCTGGACTAAACCTTTTTAAGGAGTCTGGTAATTTTTCGCTGAAAAAAAACAAAACTTTGTTAACTTGAGACATGTGTAAACGAAAACAAAGGACGTTATACCTAAAAAGTAGCCAGTGCCCAAATAAAGTAATAAGAGCGATTAAGATGGTCAAATGATAATGTTATCCATGCCGATATATATGTTTACACTGGAAGTATATCTTGGAAAGATTTACGCGTGTAGAACTAGAAGTTGACGTTGAAAAGAGGCGTGCACATCAGTTTAGCCAGTCAAATATAAAAAATATCTCAATATCACGTGTAATTATTTGTACATGACAGCACAACGGTATATTTATTCTTGTTAAACTATTACGTCGAAAAATATGTGCTAGGGCTCCTCCGGAGCCTGTATCACTATAGACGACACAAAAATAAAAAATCAGATTTTACAAAAAATGCGGAAAGGTAATAATTTTTAAGGTCAAAAGTTTATTTATTTATTACATCTTTCTTTGTGATTGAGTTTATAATTAGAATGATATGAGCAAACTTGTTCTCGATGGCCGAAGGCTTTTAAAATACATGATGGCGGTTTACAATGTTGAAAACACCTCTTCTAGTAGCCTTTATCTCAAAGACATCTCCCAATGAAGGTTGGTGTCTTTGATAGTACAATTCCCTAAGTACAGCTAGGGTATCTTCAACAATCTGTCCTTTGCAGTGATTCCGAGTATCAGTAATACTGAAAATTGTTTCCGATGGGGCAACACCAAGTATTCCAAACTGATTTGCACAACCATCAAACGCTTGAATAACTAATCAAGATATTGTTAAAAAACGAGAAAATAATAATGATCATTTTTACATTATTGACATACCATCGATTACTTGCTGTTTAGGAACATTTCGGGTTCTAATCCCATCCTCATCCCATTCGATCACTAACAGCATTTGATCGATATCATCATCTTCAAAGTCTTCATCCACGTCGTTGTTGTTCTTTCTAGCAGTCTTTCTAGCGGTCTTATACCATTGAACGATACGTTTTTGGGTCCCTGGACTAAACCTTTTTAAGGAGTCTGGTAATTTTTCGCTGAAAAAAAACAAAACTTTGTTAACTTTGAGACATGTGTAAACGAAAACAAAGGACGTTATACCTAAAAAGTAGCCAGTGCCCAAATAACATAATAAGAGCGATTAAAATGGTCAAAATGATAATGTTATCCATGCCGATATATATGTTTACACTGGAAGTATGTCTTGGAAAGAGAACGTGTGTAGAACTAAAAGTTAACGTTGAAAAGAGACCCGCATATAGCCAGTTAAATATACAAAATAATCTCAATATCACGTGGAATCATTTGTACATGATTGATAATAACTCAATAGTACAAACAATACAAACAAACTACCCAGGTCACGTGTCTGTTATTGTGACTATATTTTGACCAACGAAAAACTTTGCAATAATTGCGTTTCCCCATGACGAAGTTTACAAACACAACTTCCTAATTAGGATCACCATCCCAATTTGGAATAGTAATCACAGCATTATACAAGTTATTGTTCGATGGTTTCTGTCTTATTATTATCGTAATCATGCATAACAAAAGATATTTGTTAACTTTGTCTTAGTATTATCGCGGGTCAACTCACCCTGGAATTGACGATTGTACGTTTATTAAGCTAGAAATAGAAAGAGCGTGCGTAAATATTCGTGACCAAGCACAATGATACGGTAAATTCGAAATATATACAGTATCTAGCCCAATTTAGGATGGGCCAGCAACCAATTGGACATCAATATCTACAAAAATCTACTAATCCTTTTAAAAGTTTCTATATATATATACATGTGACTGTTTATTTACACACTGCAAACTTACACGAAATAGCGACCTCCTATTGTTGTGAAGGACCCCCCCAATGTTATAAGAAAGTAGGTGTAAACAAATAAAGAACGCAAAACTCCAATGTTATAAGAAATGTAGAAAAGAAAATGCCGAAAAATATTAGTGATTGCGGTGTTTTATGGTCAATTAGTGTGATGCAACGATAATAATGACACGGAATGCACCTGTCCTACCTGTCGAAAAAGTGACACGTCATTTGGATTCCGTATTACCTGTCGAAAAAGACATAATTGCACAGCTACACATCGTAATAGTCGAAAGCGACATGCGTGTCGAAAAAGCGTCAAACCAATAATCATAGCAGTGGTTGGACGTTGTTAAAATTAGATCAAATCGTAGTTCGAAAGATATGAAAGCAGCGTAGGAGTCAGTTAGTTTCGGTGTGTTCGCTTTAATTTAGTTTGATTCCTTTAATATTAGTATTTTTAATATTGTTAATCCATCGGGAATTATTTAAATCATGTTGTTCAACAACTATGTCGTGCATTTTTGCTCAATTCTTCGCCCTTCCTCTGCCTTTTGCTTCTCCCGATTATTGTTATCGTCTACTACTTCCGAATATGTGCAGAAGTAGATTCTACAATAGGATATGTTAGTGTATTTGTTAGACAAAGGCTGTTGGCTTTGTTACAAATAACTTACGTTAAAGTTCTTTGTGCAGAAATTAATAAAACAAAAAAATCGTCTTTGCTATCAATGTTAATAAAATTTACAGCAAATCTTCTTGTCATTGATGTGCTAACAATGATTACTATTACGACAAATTCTTTGTAATTAAATTCCAATGATGCAGTTATTTTTGATGATATTGAGAGTTATTTATTACTATAAATCGATATCGACTTGTATAATTGACTTGTGCTACTGGGTGATTACAAACACTGCTACGACCGTCTAGCACGTCCTCGCTCATCACGTAACTCGAGCAGAACCTAAGCGTCAAGACATTCTCTGTATTTTGGAGGTTGTTTTGATTACTGCGCGTGGGCCAACAACGGGTTTTGGCAATCTTTCTATTGTTATTATCGGCATATTATCACATGGTGGCAACCTGATTTAGCTATCTTCGAACGGAGCGCGGTTCTCCTACTAATAACTTTAACCAAACTGACAGTTAGTGACCTGTGTTAGGCTTTCTCGCTGACGGCTCACAATGCCGGATTGCGATACTAATCCTGGATAACTGTCTCAACACTATAAAAAATTTTCTCTTGTTAAGATACTTTCCTTTTCTCATTAATTTAACGTATAAGGTTATGAGGTTGTGGATATGGAGATCTCTAAAATGGCTATGGCAGTCGATAGATCACGGTGGTTAATGCGAAGGAATAAAATGATAGCTTATCGTGTACCGTTCGTCTAAATCCGCCTTGGAAATAGTTCTCCAGAACAGCTTGTTTTCTGCTTGCAATATCCATCCAAACCACGTCGTTTTTTCGATGCGTTACAAGATTGCATTATGTAAAATTTATTTCTAACAAATTCCGTTAGGAATATGAAGAATGAATGGGCTAGAGCTTTGTTATTATTGGTCGCTCTTATATCGAGCGTAACATTTTTTATAATTTTCTTTTATCGAATGTAACTTTCTTATCAGGCAATACACGATTTACTATATAAACTTCTTATAACAAACAGAATCTATATAGAGCTGGTTCGGGTCGGAAACCCCCCCCTCTTATATGCTCAATTTCTTTTATCGAAAGTTTCTATAACGGGTTTTACTTGTACTAGTAAACTATTTAATTCTTCCCATTGAAACGCTAATAAATTGTGCGATAACACAATAAATGATTCAGAGATTGCTTGGAAAATCATTCAAATCTATGTCGTCCGCTCCAGGTGTTGTTAAGGATATTCATAATCCAGCAATTGAAAACTTGATTCAATCCTCCTTGGAAAGTCAATCTGTCGTATGGATTCCTTGTTCCG